TCTTGCTAGAGGCATATCAGCTATGACCCCTATGACGGTTAAGGAAAGGTATCAGAACTTCCTGCCTCTGTGATGTCTAGCACCCAAGGTAGGGAAAGGAGTATCATTAACTAGGAAGCAGCTTGCTTGATGGAAAAGCTGCAGGAGAGACGCTGGCCTGCTGCCTGTGGGCACTAGACAGGAAAAGAGCAAAACAATTTTCTTGCAGGCCTAGCCAGAACCTTATAGGAGGACTGAGGAAACTTCCTCCATTGCAATTGGGTAATAAACAACCAGCTCTTTGAGGAAGAGATGGAAAAGGAGGTTGAAAAGGCAACCAACAGCCTCAGGGAAGAAAATGGGTAGGGAGAGGCATACATACAGGGGATCAGCATTGTGGGGCCACCAAGGTACTTGCCAGCCAGGCTTCGCCTATTGGAGTGCAGGCTCAAGTCCTGCCAGACTCTGCTTCTGATTCAGCTTCCTGCTAATATGTCTGGGAAGTCAGTAGAGGATGACTGGTGTGCCTGGGTGCTTGCTATCCATGTCAGAGATCAGCATGCCATGCTGGTTCCTGGCTTCAGCCTGGCCCAGAACTGGCTGTTGAGGCGAACTGCGGACCCATGTGAACCAACAGATGGAAGCTCTCTTTTTCTTTCCCCCACTGCCATTCTTCCCTTCAAATAAACTAATAAGTCTTTAAACAAAAGTACCAACACAGGCCCTTCCTTAGAGACATCACTACATTCATGAAGCAGAGAACACAGAGCTATAATTTTGATATTAAAATCCCAAACTAGTTAAATGCATGCAAAGAAACAGAAAGTACATTCATCCCTGAAAAAAAATTATTTGGGGGGGAGGGAATGATAAAATAATGTCCTCCATGGAATCGATCTGAGGTAACCTCAAATTTGGTCTCAGGGATATTCACAGATTTGCAAAAAAAGGTCGTCTGCCAGGTGCCTTCCAGAGAACGCGATTCTAGCCCCTTCAACCCCTCAAATTTCCTGACGGCCTATCACAGAAAGGACCAAATAAAAAGCTCTCTAAGCCTCATTCCAACTTCTAGGGTTCCACAAGTTCCTGCTCACGTGCTTGCGCCTCCGAACGTGGAGGTGGCAAGCGGGCGCACGCCCCGGGTTTTCTCGCTTGGGCCCTCGCATAGGGTGCGTTTACCTAACATCTTCCAGTCAGCAGCCTTCGATAGTGGCCCTGTCACACTCGGACACATCCGTCCCTACAGCGGGCAGCCCAGGTGACCTGGCCTCGGGGCAGCGGGAACTACGTCTCCCAGAGTGCCCCTGGGCGAGGGGCGCCCGCCCGATTGGCCTCGGTCGCTGACGCTCGGTGTTTTGGCCCGGTCGGTCACATGTTTCCTTTGTTGTGAGCTGCGGCTGGAGACTGTTGGCTGCAAGGAGACGCCGGCGCTGGAGAAAACGCTGCGCCGCCGGCTGCTTGAGGGACCGCGGGGCTCGCCGCTGCCACCGCCGCTGCCGGCCGCTTCTTGCAGCCTTAGCCGAGAGGTACCCGGGGATGACAGCACCGGGACCAGCCGAAAGGCGAGGAACCGGCCAGATCCTGGGCTCTCGGGGGCGGCGAGGCGGCCGGGTGCCCACAGCCCCAGGAGGGTGTCTGTGGGGAGAGAAGCCCGCGGCCGCCGGCCTCTCGCAGCGGGAGAAGGGGATCTGAGGACAGGCTGCGGCGGGGGGCGGCAGGGCCATGTGGGGAAGCCAGGGAACTCCGGGGCTCGCTTGGAGGGGTCCTCAGCCCCGGCTAGGTGGCGGCAGTCCTGAGGGAGGGCACCCCCGCCTCCTGGCACTTGCGGGCCCGGAACCGCGGCCTTGCCAGGGGCGGGTTGGGGCGGGGTGGCCGCCGGGCTGGGGGTGGGGAGGGTGGGGGCCAGCAGGTGCGGTCACCTCCGTCTCCGGGGAGTCTGGGGGTAAGCTGGGGGGCTGGGGAGACGGTCCTGCTTGAGCTGATGCGCTGCGGACGGGGCATTTTATCTCTGGATACGTCGGAGCGCGACAGAGACCAACCCACCCTTTCCGTTTGGTGGGGGCTACCCGTAGTTCCTGTCGGGGAGTGACAGGACGGGGGCATGACGGGGTCACCGGGGGTCCCCCAGGCCAGGAGCCAGAGCAGCCCCGTTAAGTGATTGCGAAATGTGCTCGGCGCTGTCACCTGACCGTTACCCCCGCCCCCAGCGAGCCTTTGTTTACCACGAACGCGACGGGCCCCGCGCCGGGAGCCTTGCCTGCCACGGCCGTCCCGGGGGAGCGGGGCAGGCGGGGGAGCGGGCGTTCCGCGGGCCGAGTCCCCGCCTAACCTCCCCACCTTCCCTCCACTCCAGAGCCTGGTTTCTTAATTTAGTCTGTCTTGTCCCCGCCCCCCTCTCCTCCGACTTCTGGACACCTCGGGGCAGACTGTGAACGCGTCCGGGATTGGGCGCCCTCGGCGGCTCTTGGGCGGGCTCGACGGGCCAGCTCTGGGCTGTGACTGGCGGCCGTGTCCATGCTGGGTGGTCCTGCCTGCTGCCGGGCCTCCAGCCCCCTTGAAGGTGATCTGGAGGACGCGCCGGCCTAGCCGGGGTCTCGGGGGTCGGCCTGAGCCGTGGCTTTGGCCGGATCCCGCGGAGGAGGGTTGAACTGGACTGCTCGGAGGCCGTAGGCTGTGCCTGTCCTCCGACGCCCCGGAAGATCTGTAGTCTTTGACTTGTGTCGCATTATTTGCTTGTGCAGAGGAAATTCTCCTCTTGCGTGTTGATTCTTGCCGGTCCGATCCACCGAGGTGTTAGGAGGCCAACTAGGGACCGTGACACCAGGTTTATGGGAGGCCCTCATGCCCACCCCAGGCGGTGACTAGACAATTAATTGTGGTGGATTTTAATGCCTAGTTTTAAAAATCACGTCTTGGGATTTGCCAGTTTAGGACTATTTGGGTCTGCCAGCTAAGGGATTGGCTTCCATGAGCTTTGTAAAATGGGTTTGACATCTGCCTGTTAGGGGCTAAAGCTTAGACTTGGATGGAGCTCTAATTTTTTTTTTTTTTTAAGTTGGAAGAAAGTTTTCCAAGTATTAAAGATTCCTCTGTACCACGGCTTTGATGAGTCCTTTCCTTGTCTGGAGGAGTCCAGCTCACACACTTCCCTTGTTTGGAGGATTCTACTAGAATCGATGTGGCAATTCAGAACTTTTATTATAAGTGAATTGCAGTTGTGTTTTTAAATTGTAAATTAAGGTGGCAGTAATCAAAACCCTAAGACCAGTCATTGTTTAGTCATAGGATGGTGAAAGTGATTTTCCTTACCTGAGTTAATTGGGTACTTGGGATTTATCAGGTTTTTTTTTTCCCCCTGTGAGTCCATAGGAACTCCGTGAAGACCCAATGTATTTTTGTAGGAACAATTTTGAGCTTCTCTGGGTCAAGCAGGAATTTATGAACAGTTCTTATTGGTTATGCAATCTTAATATGTTTTAAAAATTCAAATGGAGAATGAACATAGCCCAGTAATGAGCAGAACTGCTTCCCCAGTTGTGTAGAGGTCACTAAATTGGCCGATAAGCACCAAATAGCACTGTCTCACCTTGTTAACCATTAAAACTGTCCCTCAATGAAGGCCCCTTTATTCAAAGCCTGTGACTTAGTCTCTGAGAATATTCTGGGTTAAGGCTGACTGGCTGACTGTGGGCTCTAATTTAAGCTTCCCTGGCTGTTGTCCAAGTTGTTGAAACCTTAATGCTTTTTCAGTCAGGTTTTTTTTGGGGGTTTTTTTTTTTTTTTAGGTTTTTTTTTTTTTTTTTTGAGCTTCCTTGTTTTTCTGCCTTTTCATTAAAGCCCAAAGGGGAAGCCTGTGAAAAATAAATACTGCTGTTTATCAAATAAATGACCACATGGACTTTTGCCTATATTTTCACCTAGAAATTTGGGACAGCTTTCTTCAAGTATAGAGACTCTGAATAAAATGCCCTCATGGAGACAAACATGAAGGATACATTTTGTGTGATTTTATTTCTGTTGTTAGGTGTGAGGCTGTTTGACAACTGTTCATATTTTAAAGGTACCAGTGTAAAAGCACAGCACCTGAACTAACTTTATTTTCAAAGGCAGTATTGTTTGAGAGATGAAGGGAGTACGCATGTTCCTATCATGGTTCACTCACCAGCTTTCCACAATGCTAGGACCCCAAAACTGAAGCCTACAATAGTAGTACTTCCCTTTGTGGATGACAGGAACCCAGTTACCCAAGCCATCTCCTTTGTCTGCAACAGCCCATAGTCAAGAGCTGGGACTCCAACCTCAGGTTCTCTAATGTGGGATGGACACATAACAAACAGCTAGGCCGAATATCCATTCCCTAAACTAACTTTACTAAATTGAAGAATTTGTCAATCTGCTTAAATTCATCATTACTCAAGAGCTGTAATTTTCCAGAATTTGGCATATCTTAAAGACAACTAAAATTAATATTGTAAAAGTGATTAGGCTGTAATCTTTATTTTGGCTTTCAAAAAGTTATTCCTGCAAACGATTTGTGGATATCTTAGAGTAAATGAAAATCACTGACTTACAAATGCTTTGATACATAGGGAAGTCATTTAGAACACTGGATCCCAAACTTGTTTAAGTGACTGAGCACCTAGTGGTACAGTGGGAGATTGAACTAAATTGAAGTAAAAGAAACAAAAACAATGAAGCTAACAGAAAACATGGATGTTTATCTGTAGGTCTTTTTCTTAAGATTTTATTTATTTCTATTGCAAAGTCAGATTTACAGAGAGAAGGAATGACAGAGACAGAAAGATCTTCTGTCCACTGAGTCACTCCCCAAGTTGCTGCAGTGGTTGAAGCTGAGCCAATCCGAAGCTAGGAGTCCGGAGCTTCTTCCAGGTCTCCCATGTTGGTACAGGGTCCTAAGGCTTTGACCCATGCTCCACTGCTTTCCCAGGCCACAAGCAGGGAGCTGGCTGGGATACGAACCAGAACCTGTATGGAAACCCAGTGCATGCAAGGCAAGGACTTTAACCACTAGGCTACCATGCTGGGCCCATCTATAGGTTAACATATTACAGTAAATACTGATAGGAAAGTACATGTTAGCAGGTTAAAGCCAAAGGGCATTACGTTTGACATGCCAAGTGTAGGGAGAAACATGACTAAGGAGTGCAGCTTGATGCTTGTAATGAGTAACCATTCTTTTTTTCTTCCTCCTTGAGGGGTTGGAAAGAATCAATAGGGGTGAGTTTTAAGGTGAGGGAGACATGCATTGTGGAAAAATTTGAATGTTTTTCTTGTAACTTAGGAGGAAATAGTGTTCTTTTTATTTTTAGAACCACACTATTTGGCACATTGTTTAAGCTCCTGGAATTTTCACCACCTAATACCTCTTTCATTTCTGTTTCTGTCATCAAAGTCATGGACTGTGTTGCCTGTCTGAAGGTCTAGGAAACGTAAGATAGTCACTAGCTTCTGTCATTGTAACCAGGGAAACTCAGGGTTTTTAATTTGCTTCTGATATGGTGGGTAAATATGATCGTGGTACTTCGAATTAGAAGTTAGAAATGTTTAAAATAACTTGAAGACTAGACTTAAGTATTATGTATGTAAAATCAGGAAGCGTTGCTCCAGACAAATACTACCAAGTAAATTTGTAATATTGTAAAAGTGATCAAATAAATTACTCTGAGACAATAGGATCCAAATAGCATAGCATCTGCTTGGTTTGGCATAGTTGCCTGTAAAATGTAAATTTCTGGTTATTTTAAAAATAAATTTACTATGTTGCAATTATTTTCTGGCTTTCCTTCTTTTGAGCTACTTTCGAATAACACACCTCTTCTTGGTTAACTATTCTTGTCCTTGCTGGGTTGTTCTTCACTCAAGGTTAAATTCGAGAAAATTGTGTGGTGTGTTACATAGCATGTGTCCATCACTTCTACAAGTTGCAGGGACCATGCTAGTCAGTACTTTATTGGCTTCTTTTGTTTTCTGCTATGGATTAATCTTTCAAAGCCCCCCATACTAACTGTAAGGCTGATCATCACCTTCTTGTGTAGAATCCCTGCATCCTGAAGGAATAATGCACACTTGCTACAGTATAGTTATGTGGTAGACGGATTCTAATTTTGTATATCTCCTCCAGACTTTGTACCCTGACCTCATCTGTCCCTTGCCTTAGCTATTAGGTTGGTATGTATTGCTTTAAAAACCTGCCAGAACTAGCCCAGTTTGAAACACCTTGCCCAATCTCCTTTGATATTTGCAAAATGTAATTCTAGACCAAATGTACTATGAGAAGCTTTATTGCAGTTTGCACCTGTGTGGGTTTTTTGTGGAAGAAATGTTGAGAATTTGAATCTATTATAATGTCAGCCTTGGAGTTTAATCTGATCTCATCCAACCCTGCAGAATCTTAAATTTGAATCTGAACCCACTGTTTGCCCCCCAGTGCCCAGCACAGACTGGGCTCTCTGGAAATGTTTCTTGAGTTGACTTTCCTTGCATTGATTCAGGAGCTTATCCCACTGTGAAAAACATTCAGTTAGCTTGGACTGAAAATGCCCTAACTTTGCCAAGTTGCAATGATATATGTAAGTTACACTGACATTTCAAAGTTAGGAAATATAAGATAGTACTCTCCTTACAACACAGTCTGAATATAGAGATATTTGTGTACATTCATGTTAAAAAAAAAAAAGTAGTTTGTACCTGAGTTTGGGACCAAACTTCTGGATTTGCCTGAAACTTGTTAAGAATTTACAAGTTCTATTTATAGTTATCTGGGCCAGAAACCAGAATCACTTGTGTTTAAATACTGTTGCTATTCTGTGCACAGCTCAAGGCTCTGATATTTTCTGTTACACATTCTTCTTCTCTCTTTCCACCAAAAAAAGGAATTGTGCAGAATGAGTTGATTTCTATTGGCATGAACTCTATAAAACTCAACAATGCAAAAGAAATATGTATTTATATGATAAAAGATAAAAGAATATAGTTATTTCATAAGCTTACAGATTCCATACAGAAAATCTAGAGAACAAAAGATTTTTAAAAATGGATTATTTTTCAAAGTATCCAGAATTGTTTAGGATTTTCTCTAATTGATTCCACAGTTATATGATATATACTGAGTAAACTGGGCTTGTTGTTGTTGTTGTTGTAATACTGGTAAACCAAGTCTTAGAATTACCCTAAGGCCCCAAGTTTCAGTGAAACATCAGTTCAGGACATTCTTCAAATAGCCAGTGTAGAATTATTCCAGGATACACTTCATCTCTGAGCCACCTTTATCTTGCTGTTGACATGAGTATTTATTTACTCTTACTCAAGAAATTTTACTGCATGAGAAAATTGTCAAGTAAGAAAGTCAGTACATAAGGAAGCTAATTTGTAAAATAGCATAAAATTATTTGCTAAAGAAGTGTTATTTATTTATTAATGGTTTTTCCATGTAAAAAATGAAAGTCTAGTGAGAAACTAGAGTTTAGTGAACATTTATTCAATATACTAATAAAAATGCCAACTCTGAGGAAGTGATTAGTGTCTGATTTGTATGTTGCTATTCTCCATTTCTTTTAGGTGTGGAAATTAACACAAATATTTTGACTGAGGCTTTAATCAAGCAAATGTTAAAAAGGTACATTTATAATATTTATAAACTATCTATACATTGGTAGTAGGTAATTTAAGCTGTTTTCTTTTCGTTAACCAGGAGTCACTTTAGCCGATTAGTGTATCAAGGAACAATTCTATCCTTAAGATCACAAAGGCAGGCACTGTCACAATCATTTGGTACTAAATACAATATATGCTGTTCCTTTATGTTCCTTTCTAGGAGCCTTAGTTTCTCTGTGTTATTCTGCAGTTTGAAGATAGTAAAATAGGTTTTCTGTACTTTCTTGGAGGGACATAGACCAGAAACATGTAATTCCAAATTTAACACAGCAATCAAAATCCAGGTTTACAACATTTGTGAGTTACACAGTTGGAAATAAATCCTAGAGTACCATTGACCTGAAGAATCTCTTAAGGAAGGTCATTCTTTTCAAGTCTGTGCGTAGTTCAAAAAATAAAGTTCCTAAAAGGACAAAGGAGAAATCGAGGAGGATATTAGCATTTCCAGCTCAGAGGAAACTTTTGCAGTCAGTCATTGGCATGTCAGTCTAACCTCGCTTGAATCCACTAAGTCATCTACCTAGAAATTAAAGTGCTGTGTTGCTGTAGTAAAATCATTACCTAGGGTGTCTCTCCCTCTCTGCTTTTGAAAGGCACACCACTTCCTGCATTTCTAACGGAAAATTCTTTCCCCTTCCCTCTTCTCCCCATTCACCTGGTCACTTCTCAAATAAACTTATCTCTCTGCAAAAAAAAAAAAAAAAAAAAAAAAGCATCACCTAGACCTCAGGTAAATTATGTGCCAAAGTATCTTATGAGGTTTAAAAGAAAAATGTACTTTTAAAGTGGAACATTGCAATCTATACCAGTGTTACATACTGTCTGTGCTGCTTTATATGGTTATTTATCTTTGTATGAATGTTTTGTGTCACAATTATATTTGCTTATATATGTATTTTAAAGACTTATTTATTTATTTTGAAAGACAAAGTGACCCAGGGCTGGCATTGTGAGCATAGCAAGTTAAAACCATTGCTTGCAATGGGAACATCCCGTTTCGGTGCTGGTTCATGTCCTAACTACTCCACTTCCCATCCAGCTCTATGCTAATGATGTGGGAAAAGCAGCAAAAAAAAAAAAAAAAAAGGTCCCAGTGTTTGGACACCTGCCACACCACAACTATGGGAGACCTGGGTAAAGCTGCTTGCCTTAGCATGGTTCAGCTCTGGCTTTAGTGACCATTTGGGGAATAAACTTCCCTCCCTGTCCTCTCTGTTTGTAACTCTGACTTTCAAATAAATTGACTGATTTTTTTTTTAAAGAAATAAAGGCGGAGTGATAGAGGTCTTCCACTGGCTGGTTTACTCCCCAGATAGTTGCAACAGCTAGAGCTAGGCAAGGTGGAAGGCAGGACCCCGGAATTCCATCTGGGTCTCCCATGTGGGTGGCAGGAGCCCATGTACTTGGGTCATCATCTGCTGCTTTCCCAGATGAAACTTTTTCCCAGATCCAGCAGGGAGCTGGATAGCAAATGGAGCAATTAGACCTCAAACCAATGCTCCTGTGGGGTGTGGGTATTGCAGGAAGAGGAGAATATTTAGGTCATGTACAGCTTCTGGGGAAGTGGAAGAAGAGTAGACAAACCCCCTTCAAAAGACACGAAAGAGAACTGATTGCTGTTATCTAAGTGCCTCAGTCTGTCATTCGTCATCCTTCCTGCAGGGGGTTGAGATGATTCTAAATGGTAAAAGGGAGCAAAGCCTAAGTATTACATATTTTAAAATGTTCAACGTATTTAAAATGGAGTCTTGTATATTCATGTATTAAGATTTGGGGAAACTGGAGGAGATAAATTACTTTTTCTGTTTTCCTTTTATTATCTATTTCTAGATGCATTGATATGTCATTTTTGTTAGCATATACTTTGGGATCTTTCTTCACTTACTGTCTGGTTAATAATTGCCCATGTCATTAAATAGGCTGCATATTTGTAAATGGCTGCATAGGCTGTTCCATACTGAAAATGTACAGTGGTTTAACTAATCTCCTGTTGTAGGGCATTTACATTGTTTTCGATTAGTGTAGTATTGAATACCTCTGTAGGTAAGTCTTCCCATGAATTCCTGTTTATTTCCTTAGATTGCTAGGAGGGATTTGGTGGCCCAACAATGTACATGTAAAGATTAACTTTTATGTTTTTATTTGAAAGACAAAAAGCCCTCATGTTCCAGAATACTGTCCAAATCCCTGCAATAGGTAGGCTTTGGTCAAGGCTGAGAGCAGGAACTCCACCACTTGCCATCACCATTGCTTCCCATGATGCACAACAGCAGGAAGACAGAGTTAGGAAGCAGAGGCAGACATTGAAGCCAGCCAGTCCACTATGGAATCACTTTGCCAACCATTAAGCCAGATGCCTAGCCCCATATTTTTAAAGGCTGTTGCAGTTGATGGCTGTAGCTAAATTTCTTTCTAGTAAGATTGTATTAAGATAGTCACTGTTATAGTGTGCTAGTGTTCTGGCACAGCAGGTTAGGCTACTCCCTGCAAAGCCAGCACCCAAATTGGAGCACCAATTAAAATACTCACTGCTCCACTTGCTAGGCAGCCCCCTGCACCTAGGAAAGCAGTGCTAAGTGGCCCTAGTGTTTGGGCCCGAATCTCCCCCTGCTACCCATGTGGGAAATCCAGATGGAGTTCCTGACTCCTGGCTTCAGTTTGGCCTAGGCTTGGCCATTGTGGCCAGATGAGTAGTGGATCTCTCTGCTAACTGCTTGTCAAATAGATAAATATTTTTAAAATGAGATAATAATACTTGCATTCTGACTGGAGTCAAATTATTTCACCATTCTGACATAATATCAGGTGAGAGAGAATTATCAGCAATCTAATCCACAATATCCATAATATCTTTTCTGCTGGGGAGCTGAAGTTCTCTTGAGGATTACTCCTGATATTCTAATTGTGGAAATGCAAATTTGAGTTAGCACTCTATGAGATATAGTATATGGTTTTGTTGCAGTGTTTACATAAAAATAAAATTATGTAATTTGAATCCTAACTTTTTTACATATTGAAATGTTTTGGTGGTTTTTTTTTCCTTTTAGCTGCATAAAGAAGACTCCTAACAGTCATTTCTCAGCAATTATATAGTCAACTGATGTAACAATGGTCCTAATATTGGGACGCAGACTAAACAGAGAGGATCTTGGGATGCGTGATTCCCCAGCAACAAAGCGTAAAGTTTTTGAAATGGACCCTAAATCTCTGACAGGTCATGAGTTTTTTGACTTCTCTTCAGGATCATCCCATGCAGAAAATATACTGCAAATATTTAATGAATTCCGAGACAGCCGCTTATTCACAGATGTTATCATTTGTGTGGAAGGGAGAGAATTTCCATGCCATCGAGCTGTTCTGTCCGCCTGTAGTAGCTACTTCCGAGCTATGTTTTGTAATGACCACAGAGAAAGCCGAGAAATGTTGGTTGAAATCAATGGGATTTTAGCTGAAGCAATGGAATGTTTTTTGCAGTATGTTTATACTGGAAAGGTGAAGATCACCACAGAAAATGTGCAGTATCTCTTTGAAACATCAAGCCTCTTTCAGATCAGTGTTCTCCGGGATGCATGTGCCAAATTCTTGGAGGAGCAACTTGATCCTTGTAATTGCTTAGGAATCCAGCGCTTTGCTGATACCCACTCTCTCAAGACACTCTTCACAAAATGCAAAACGTTTGCGTTACAGACTTTTGAGGATGTGTCTCAACACGAAGAATTCCTTGAACTTGACAAAGATGAACTTATTGATTACATTTGTAGTGATGAACTCGTTATTGGTAAAGAAGAGATGGTGTTTGAAGCCGTCATGCGTTGGGTCTATCGTGCTGTTGATCTGAGAAGACCACTGCTGCATGAGCTACTGACACACGTGAGACTTCCTCTGTTGCATCCCAACTATTTTGTTCAAACAGTTGAGGTGGACCAATTGATCCAGAATTCTCCAGAGTGTTATCAGTTATTGCATGAAGCAAGACGGTACCACATACTTGGGAATGAAATGATGTCCCCAAGGACTAGACCACGCAGGTGAGAAGAGTTAAAAAATATAATGAAATTTTTTAAAATATATTTTTTTGTAGTCAGCTGTGTGTATACTCGTTATGTGGCTTTTTATAACTTAGGATTTACTTTTTTGGAAAGTGTTGTAGCAGATTAAGGCACTGTTTCTGATACTTTCATCCCTTATCAGAGTATCAGTTCTGCTTGGCTTCCAATCCATCTTTCTGATCATGCCTCTACAAAGGCAATGGGTGATGGCCCAAGTACTACATGGGGTCCAGTCACCCTTGAGGGAGACCTGGGTGGAATTCTTAGTTCCTGGCTTTGGCCTAGCCCTGATTGTTATGGCCACTTGAGAAGTAAACCAGTGAATGGAAAACTCTCTCTGTTTCTCTCACTGTACTTTTTTATATAAATGGTTAGAATGTCTTGCCTAGGGAAGACTAGGAGCTATGGGGTGCTACAGAGGATCTTTAAAACTATACATTTCTCAACATATTTCTAATAAATTTTTCTTGACTTTGAGATAATATTTGAGAATTGTAACTACAGAAAAGTTGATAAATTTTGTTTAGAAGTAGAATTTAAGTATTGTGCTGTTTTTTCTTTTTTATAATTGTTTATATAAAACACATCTTAATTTCTAAACTGGAAAATAATCTGCATGCTTTTATTAAGTGGAATAAAGGAGTACTATTAATATACATTATTGTGGATAAGGAAGAAATGCCTGTTACAGAAAATGTTACACAAAGAATCTTTTCAATATTTTGCTAACTGCTTGTATGATTATTGGGATTTTGTAAAGATTATAGCAAATAAACATGCAACATGAATGTATCATCTTAACCATTTTAATTGTGCATTTTAGTAGTGTTCAATCTTCATATTGTTATGAGGCTAATCTTATTTTAATAATTTTCCCATACCACATCCATTTTTTTAACATTTATTAATTCTTATTGGAAAGTCAGATATACAGAGAGGAGAGACAGAAAAATCTTCCATCTGCTGGTTCACTCCCAAAGTGGCCGCAATGGCCAAAACTGAACTGATCTGAAGCCAGGAGCCAGGAGCTTTTTCCAGGTCTCCCACATGGGTGCAGAGTCACAAAGCCCTGGGCAGTCTTTGACTGCTTTCTTGTGCCACCAGCAGGGAGATGAGAGGAAGTGGAGTAGCTGATATACAAATCAGCACCCATTTGGGACCCTGGCACATACAAAGTGAGAATTTTAGCCACTAGGCTGTTGCCCTAGGCCCCTATCTCCACTTTTTAAAAACAGATTTACTGTAGTATAAGTCACAAACCACCTTTTTAGGGGTTTGTAAACCATTTTTCATTTATTTGAGAGACAGGGAGGGAGGCAGAGAGAAGGCTCCTATTAATCTATTCACTCCCCAGATGCCTACAGTGGTCAGGGCTACTGGACCAGGAATCAAATCTGGATGTTTCTATGTGGGATGTGGTGATCTTAGCAGCTAGGCCAAACTCTTGCTCCCCTGCTTTGATTTTGAGTAGTGTTCTTATGGAATGTTAATAAAATTTGTGATATTGTGAAATTACTTGTTTGCAAAATATATATGCTAGTTTGGATCTAGCAAGATTTAAAATTTCTCATGCAAAATGAAAATGATGATAAATAGTGTTTACTGGTTTTGCTATTGAAACCATCAAAAATCTTTTAAGCACCCAACATAATATGATACATATAAAATGCTTAATAATTATTAGTTATTATTTACATATTGTAAGTCTGACCTACTTTAAGAAAATTTGAATACTTGAAAGGCTGAACTTTTTGTAAATTAGATATAATGTTGGATAAATTACCACCCCAAAAACCCCACAGTATTTCTTTTTATTAGCAGGATAGTTTATTTTGGCTTCAAAGTTACCTAACTAGTTAAAGGTAATCTTTTTTTTTAAGATTTATTTTATTTTTATTGGAAAGGCAGATATACAGAGAGGAGAGACAGAGAGGAAGATCTTCTGTCTGATGATTCACTCCCCAAGTGAGCACAACAGCCGATGCTATGCCGATCCGAAGCCAGGAGACTCTTCCGGGTCTCCCACACGGGTGCAGGGTCCCAAAGCTTTGGGCCATCCTCAACTGCTTTCCCAGGCCACAGGCAGGGAGCTGGAAGGGAAGCGGGGCTGCTGGGATTAGAACCGGCGTCCATATGGGATCCCGGGCGTGCAAGGCGACGACCTTAAGCACTGCACCATCGCGCCGGGCCCGAAAGGTAATCTTTTTAAAAGAAAGAAATAGGAAGCTGGCGCGGCATAGTTAGTGCCTCCACTTATGGCACTAGCATCCCAAATGGGTACTAGTTTGAGTCCTGGCTAAACTGCTTCTAATCCAGCTCCCTTCTAATGATCTGGAAAAGCAGTAGAAGATAGCCCAAGTACTTAGGCTGCTGCACCTACATGGGAGACCTGGGAGAAGTTCTGGTTCCAGGCTTTGGACCAGCCCAGCTCCAGCTTGTGGCCATTCTAGGAGTAAACCAGCAAATAGAAGATATCCCGCTCTTTTCCTTCTCCTTCTGTATGTAAATCTGCCTTTAGAATACATAATTACATCTTCTTTTAGAAAGTAAGAAGTTTCACTCCTAGTCATTTTTAAAAGGCCAGAAAACATAAAATCTTATTTTATAAGTGTATTCATGTTTTTTATGTAATCCATCAAGGCCTGAGGGCTAGATTTAATAGTGTTGAAAGATCAAGGTTCCTGAAATTACTAAGAATGCTAGGGGCGGGTGCTGTGATACAACAAATAAGCTGGTGCTTACGATGCCCTTTACCACACAGGAGTGCCTGGAATTGATTCTGCCCCTGTTGGCTTCCTGTCCATCTGCCTGCTAATGCTCCTGACAGGAAGCAGGTGATGGCCCAGGGACTTAGCCTCCTGTCACCCACAAAGGAGATCTAGCTTGAGTTCCTGGCTCCAGCCTGACCGAATCCTGGCACTGCCATTTGGGAAGTGAACCTGCGGAAGATAGCCTTTCCAACTATCCGTTACTCTGCCTTCCAGATTCAGTAAATAAATCTTTGAAAGAACACAAAAATCCAAGAAAGGTAGACAGTTTCCAGACTAATTGATTTTTAGGTCTTCTGTAACTTTTCTAAATCCGTTAGTGCTCCTCAAGGGGGGAGGACATTTTTCCAATCAGAATCCCCTTGTAGAAGACAGAATGTTCTGAGATCATATGGGGCTAATAATATCCACCCTGTATATCTCATAGGATTAAACTACAGGCCAAGGGTTGGTTATAGGTTATAAAGTTAGAGTAAGTCATTTATTACTAACCTTATTTATAAAGTCATGACTTGAATGAAATTAGATTGCAGTTTAAGTGTCCCATCACTCCTTTAAAGACATAATTTATTTAATTATGTGACTTCCAAAAGTGAAGGCCTATTTGGCCTGCCATATAGGTGGCAGGAATCCATCTAGTGCTTCAAATAGGAAGCTGAATAATAAGCAAGAGAAGGGGATAATGGATGTATTTTACACTTGATTTTTGAGAGAACCAATTCATTTCACACTGAAAAATACATTTATGTATAGGATTAATATTACCCTCTTTAGAAGATGAATAAAATATGATTATTGTAGGCTATTATGAATATAATGGCAGAAACTTATTTTATGCAGGTATTACTTGAAGGCTACAGAGAGACTCCTTTCTTTTGCAACTCTCCCATCACTTGTCCTTTACTTTCACTTATGCGCTACTGCATGTTACCATTAAGTAGTACAGATTTCATTATCAGCACAGAGTATCCATACAGGTTCTCTTGGAGAAATTCCATCCTCCTTTGTGAAAGGAGTGGTATCTCCACTTCTTCAACCTCAACTCACTCTGGCTTCTCCACTCCTCTGAACTCCTTGCCAACTTCTTAGTCATATCCAGTTTGATCTCTCTTTAGGGTTTGGTATTGTTAGTTACTTTCTCTGTCTTCAAGCTCCTTCTTCTCTTGGCTTTTGGAATGCAATTCTTGTTGTCCCAGTTATCCAGCAGCTGTTACTTAATTTTGATGATTCTTACTCCTAAATCCAATCTTTGAAGTGTTCAACATCTCTTTGTCCTGCCTTATATTCTTTCCTAGGTAAATCATCTCATCTATTCTCACTTTTAATTCATGCTATTGCCTTCTAGACTTTTACCTCCAGCTCAGACTTTTCTCTTTCATTTATTCATATTTCTTTTTAAAATGTTATGTATATATTTTTAATATTTTCAAATTTTTACTTTCTATTTGTGCATCTTTAAGAAGTAACAGACAAAATAACATTGTCACACTTAATATTAATATCTAATACATGGTCTAATACATATTATCTAATAACCAGTCCACTTTCAAATCATTTTGCAATTGTCTGTTCCTTGAATGAACTTGAATTCAGTCCAGACTCATTCACTATTTCTTGTTTGTTTTTTCATGAACTCTTTTATTCAGAATCATTTGCTTTTTCATAATTCTGACTTGTTGAAGGGAAAGTTCTTCACAAAAATAATTCATCTTCTGGACTGGTCTGGTTGCTTCCTTATAGTTTCATTTATGCTTGCTGGAAACTGGAAGTCCACTCCACAAGTTTCAGCTTGCTGAATACCAATTAAATATTTGTGGCTAGTGTTAGTCCTATGTAATGTGTACATTGCATTTTATCATGTTAGGAAGCGCAGCTTATCTGGTTGTTTTACCATTATTGATAGAAAAGTTAACTCCTGATTAAAGTGTGATCTTCTAATCCCTCAGCTATAAAGTTAATATATTTCTCATGTCAACCAATATTTCTTTACTGTTTGTCCTGTGCCAGGTAATATTCAGAGCTCTGTCCATACTGCTATTCTCAGTTTATGCCTGCATACCTCTTAGATGGCAAAAACGCATGTTGTGTGCTTTTCTTTTTTTTTTTTTTTTAAGACATTTATTTTAACTGGAAAGGCAGATATACAGAGAGGAGGAGGGACAGAGAAGATCTTCTGACTGATGATTTATTCCCCAAGTGATCACCACGGCC